CTGAAAACATATCTAGAGGGGTGGAGACATTCAGCTCTACTAAGGTAAGTGATATTTGGAGCTCAGGAATTTGCTTCAATTAATAACTTGTTGGGTAAGTATTAGGCAATCCCAAGCTTTGTTTCTACCCCTTTTTCATTGAATTTCATTGATTGAGAAATTAAATCATGAAGTTGTAAGATATTGTAATTAAAAAAGGATTAAAATAGTATGTCAAATCCAGAACTAAAGTTTTGTGACTAGTATGGAGTTGAATGGTTGAGCTTTGAGAGTTAGGTTAAAAGGATGAAGTTAGTGGAATGAATGGATTAAGAGATTGTTTGAGTAGTCCATAGGGCTAATGACTATAAATAATAGATAAGTGGATTCAAAAGAGTTCAATTAAACTGCTTTATATGTTAAGGGATTTAGTTTAGCCGAATCAATACTTGTGAAAAGTATTAAAATTGACGAAGGGACACTGTGTTATATAGATTGAGTACATGTGAAGTTGCTCGTGAGAATTTGCACCCCTAGGAGCTTAGTGTGATTGGTAACCCTTAGTAGTAAGGGTTAAAAGTAATTGCAGTAACTTTTTTACTTATTTATTTGTGACATTATTTGCAAGTATTTTGATATAACTACGTGCATTGTGTTGTGAACTGATAAAGTAGCAGCATTGTGAAAGTATATGCATGTGGGTGTATGAGTATTGATTGAAAAGAATATGAGGTAGCACGTGCATAACATACATCGCACCTGCGAGATATATCTTGAATTATGGTAGAGGGATGTGGCTCTACCATGAGGAGGTCTAAAAGTACTGATGATCTAAAGCGTAGAGCTTGACTCTTCCAAGATAGGCCTAAGAGAAGAATCCTAATGATCCAAAGAATAGAGCTTGACTCCGCCATGACAGACTTAGGATATTGAATGATCCACAAGATTACTCTAGACTAGGGTAGGGGGTTACGATCCTACTCTGTATAAGGTTAGGAAGTCTTAATGATCCAAAGCATAGAGTTTAACTCTGCCATGACAGACCTAGGAGACCACATATATGCAAAAAGGATTACTTAGTCTAAGCAGTAGTATAGGGGGCCCTATTCCTTGTGACTGAAAGTCTTAGTCTGAGCATAGAGATTTCTCTACTAGGAGGAACTAGGAATGCATTACATGAGCATAACAAGATTGATGAGAATGAATTCTTGTATATGCATATGAAATTACTTTTATTAATATACATGCTACTTTATCGCTTGTTTATAATTTTGCTTATCAATCGGTAATTAGGTTTACCTTTGAGTTATTGGGATGTATGTCTTAACCCTTTACTTTTGAACACAACTAAAGAGAGTGCAAGAAGGCCAAGAAAGGAAACAAGAAAAGAGTAGCCTTACTTGATAGTGATATGACTACCATTTGAATGAAATGAATGTACAAAGTTTTTTATAGAGTTAAATTGCCAACCAAGATGCATAAATATATGTGAATATGAGAAAGTGGATTATGTTATGAATCTTACTTTATATATATATATATATATAGAGTATTGCATTATGCCGAGGGTGCCCTAGTAAAGGGTACGTGGGTAAGATGAAATGTGAAATGAGCAAGTATATGTTGTGTTGTAATTTGTTCCATTTGTGTATATGTGTAGTGATTATGTGTTGATTGTGAATTGTGTTATTATGTGAAAACTTAATATAAATGGTGAGAACTTGACACAAATGGTGAGGCGAATCCCCAATTAGAAGAGTCGAGTACATTTGTGATTCTTGATCATATGGTGAGGCAGAGCCCTATATGTAAAAGTTGGAGAGTTTAAAATGAAACAAGTCTAATTGTATATATGAATGTGTGTTATATATATGTATTCCTCATATAAGACTATAATTATGTAATGTGTCTTTGAAAGGTCAAAATGGGCTATTGATGTGATATTTGTGATATATGATGCTAATCAAGTGTATGTGATCCTTTTAGACTTGGTTCAAGGTCAAAGTGATTTAATGGGACAAGGAATGAGAATTGAGCACTTAGAGTATAAGTTTTTGAAAGAAAAAGTGACTTCTTACACCTGAATGTTCAATTTTAGATCAAATCATCAAATCGAGTCCAAACTTTTTTCATTAGCTAGTATACGTGATAAGCTTCATGTGGGTGCTTGAATCACTCCAATCAGATGTCATATGTGAAAATGGCGCACTTCAAAAGTTCATCATTTTTGCTAATAAATGACAGCAGAAATTCGGACTAGTGCACCATGGTGCATGGTGACTCACATTATGGCACATGCCACAGTGCATGTATTGCATGCTGTGGTGTATAGCCCATTTTTAAGGTTGAGAATGATATGTATTTTGAGTTGTTTGAATGTATTTGTGCTTCTGCTAGCCCTCTTATTTAAATATATGTTTTAAGAAGTTGGGATTCCACAATTTAAAAATGAATAAAGGGTTATTACTATGATTTTGATTTATTCATTGTGTGATTTGGAATGGTAAAGCCTAGATTAAGTTGGGACTTTACAGTAATATCAACCTTGACAACATATCATGTGTCTCAAATTCACATTGCAATTCATTATAGTACTTGTCTTCCACAGGTTGTTCAGACTTTTGAAAGAATTGATCGATATCTAATTTAAAACTTGTACAATTCTTAACTCATGCATTTATACTTTCACTAATCTGAGTGCTTCTCATACCAAGTGTCCTTAAGCCCTTTATATAACATGCTGCCCATTTCTCTTTTATTTCATACATGAGTATTAACCATATATTTTCTCCCATGTTGTGTTTTGATAATAATTTTTCTCATGCCTCCTCAAACTCTATTTCATCCCAACAATGATACATACAATGGTTGAAATCACTCAAGATGTAGGACTTATCATTTTTCAATTTTTTAAAATACTTCATTACATTTCTTGAAATATACCATGTGCACAAGGAATGTGGTACTTTTGGCATCATTTCTTGTAATGCTCGTGCCATTACAGCATCTTGGTCAATGAAAATAGTTAATGGCTTCATATTCTTGTGTGCACGCAAAAAAGTCTCAAAGAGCCATTTGAAACTTTCAGTAGTCTCATCATATAATAATGCAGCTCCAAATATCATTCCTCCTTTATAATGGTTTATGCTAGAGAAAATATTATGCCAAAGAAAATAGCAAGAGGTCTATAATCATGATTTGTACAATAAGTTGTGTCAAGTGAAACAACTTCTCCAAAGTAAGCATAGTCAATCAACATACATGCATCAGCCCAAAACACATTTGTAACTTGCTTCTCCAAATCCATTTGATGAGCATGAAAAAAGATGCATTTTTTGCCAATTGTTCTTTATAGTAATGAAAGAAACATCTAGCTTCACCATAATACATGATTCTCTCCTTGAATTAAGATAATTTTTTGCATCAACTCTTATAAATCTCATATTGGTTTAGCCTCCTACATATTCATTCATCAAATTAAATGCTGACTTTTTATTAATCCCATCTTTTTTAGTAGTTTCTAATTCAAATGCTTGTGCTAGTGTTATTCCATGATATGATCAAAACATGTGAACAACTTCTGGAGGTTGGAGGTCATGATTGTGATCTAGAAAAACTTCACTAATTTTATACTTTTCATTTTTTTTATACAACTTTCATTCTAGCTTTGCAACATGTTCTTCTCTCTAGTCTAAGATTCTTTACATCCTTACATCATTTGTTTGGTTTTTGCACTTCTTATTTACAACAAATAAATAACTAGTATAAATATGACCTATCTTTTCTACTCTTATTAAATTTCTCTTTTCAAACACCAAAACCCATTTTATAGTCATAATTTCTCCAGAACTGTCATGACTCTTTCACATTGTCAAACTCAAGACTAAGTTTAGGAATCAAATTTGTATCCATTATATAAGCCTGTGACAAGTTAACTAATTATAAATAAAGCAAATACAAACTAAGAAGAAGCAAGAACAAAGTTATAAAACAAATCCAGTCACCCAACATGTATAAGCCACAAAGAAGCAAGATCAAAGTTATAAAACCACACTGAAGTTATATATGTAATACAAACACAGAGGTCTAAAACCTGCAAGCAAGTGAGCAGTATATATATATATATAATTGTAGGTATATAAAATGAGGAACAACCATCAATAAAAAAGAGGAAGCATTAACCCACCAACGAAAATATATAACTAGCCATTACCCCTCTTTCTCATTAATGAAAATAACAAGATTTTACTCACCTAGTGCACTTACCAAATAAGCTCAAGTTAGGCTCAAACTTTTAATTAAACCTATTTAGTTAAACAGGTTAGGGCTATTTCTTCAAGGCCCACCCTATGAACCTAACAGATTGGGCTATATATATATATATATATATATATTATGTAATGTATCACAAATACATTAGTTTCACCATTTAATTTTTAATCAATTTATTCTTTTTTATTTCTAATTAAACTTTTAATCATGTTATGCTTATATATTAATCTCAATATTGTTATTTTATTTTAATATTATATTGTAACTGGAACGTCCTTTCAATTATTATATATTATAATTAATAAATCAGGTTATATATTATATATTATAGTAGTCCTAAAATATATTTGAGACATTTAAAATTAAAATACAAGCATATTTAAAATATTTACTTTTAAGTAAGCTTTTAAATAAGTTTTTAAGCTAAGTTAAATTTTAAATAGACTCAAATTTAAATACTAAAAAAATAGTTATACAGGCTTTAAATCATAATCAAATCTTTAATTTATCTCATACGTTTAGATCTCTCTCTTTAAATATATTTGATACCCAACTCGATCGAAGCCTTGCAGACATGGATCTCTCCGGCTTTAGTCTCTCTCATAGTCATACGTATGATAATTATGCTTTTGACTATGAGAGTTGAATAATAAATTATAGAGAGCTGAGAGGGGGTCCACAACAACTGAAAGAGCCGATGTGGCAGCATGGCACGACTCAGTCTTAAAAACTACCCGCTGCTTCCAAACATCATCTCAGTTGTCAGAAATGGCGATAGTGGGTAGGATCAAGCTGGGTTCACCAGGCTTGGAGGTATCGGCCCAGGGACTTGGTTGCATGAGCATGTCTTCTGGCTATGGCACTCCTAAACCTGAACCTGACATGATCGCTCTCATCCACCACGCCATCCAGAGCGGCGTCACATTTCTCGACACTTCCGATGTCTACGGCCCACACACGAATGAAATTCTTCTCGGAAAGCTATTGGTCGATTACAAGTCCTTTTGCAGTTTGTAGCTTCTTCGCGTTTGTTCACTCTGTGGGTTTATGATGAATTGGGTGTGAATTTATCTGGCCAGGCTCTGAAGGGAGGTGTGAAGGAGAAGGTTGAATTGGCCTCCAAATTCGGAATCAGCTTTGCCGACGGCAAGGCTGGTATCCGTGGCGATCCTGCGTACGTGAGAGCGGCTTGTGAGGCCAGCTTGAAGAGACTGGAGATCGATTGCATTGATCTCTATTACCAGCATCGTGTTGATACTCGTGTTCCTATTGAAGTCACGGTCCGTCTTTTATCTGCTTTGGATGATCTTTTCTCTGGGTAAATTATAGTTTATTTATGTGGTTCGTGTTTGAGGTGAAATCAATTTCACCTTGTGTTTTCACTAAAATTGATGCAAGATAGATAGGCCGTTGAATAATACACCTTTCATCTATCCTGTGGGTAAATTTTAACTAAAATAATCATGCAAGTCAGTGCTATATGTCTGTTTCACTTGCAATTTGAATTTTATCTTGTTCCAATGGAGTTACTTAATCCTAGTAATAGTCATCACAGACACACAATACACTGATAATAAATTATCATAGTAACTTTTACATATTTACATGGGTGTCAGGTGTAACCAAAAAAACCAAGAGTGCAGAAATGAGATATCTTAAACCAGGGGATGCGTACAGATTTGGACCAAACACGCAAGTGTTAATTTGCCCGTATGTAATATTATTCAGAAAAACTTAAAATCCTTGATATAGCTAGCACTGTGTGAGATTACGGAAGATTGAAAGCAATCTTTCTTGGCTCTGGCTCTTCGATAATGTACTATTTATACAGAATCTTATTAAATGCTGGTACTTGGTGATTCTAGTATGTTTTCTTATAAGGTTTACACCCTCATGAACTGGAAAACTATGGAGCATTATTTTAATCATATGAGATGATTTTCCTGCAAAATATTTATTAGGATTTGGGAACACTTTTAACATTTTGTAGCCTCAGTTTTCACTCATGTTTTCGGATCTTTTAATTACCATAGTCTTAAACCAATATTGTAGGCATTCCTTGTGGTTGTAGCTGAAATTTTTTCGTCACCTGACCTGATTTCTGAAGGCCAAGTGGATTATTTGGTACTAAAAGTTTCTTGTTTGGAGGAATTTAATCTGAGTTCCTGAAACAATATCTTTTCCCACCAGTTGTAAAATGCATGCTGCATGATCATATGGTGGTATATTAGGTTTTATAAAAATGAAACGTTGTATTCAGTTGTCTTTAAATTGCCATTTGGCTATGCTAGATGGACTAAAAGGTTAAGGAGCATCTTTCTTTTCTCAATGACTTGCACAATCAAGAAGTCCTTTCTTCTTCCTACCATCCATTCATACGTTTTCTGTGTCCAAGAGTATAACAATTCACTCCACATAATCATATACATTTTTTTGGATTACGTAGGAGGTCCATGACCTTGGGAGATACTTATAGGGAATGGGGTATGGGAACTTGGAAGGGATACTTGTCAAACCCAGATATATCAAGCTCAGCTAATCTTAAAGATTGAATTCAGACTTTTGGTGCAAGATCTGGGCCTAGATCATTTGCTATCTTTCTAGGCGTTACCATAGAGAATTTAAGTTTTCACTATAAAGGTTCATCTTGCAACTAAGAGTACTTTTGTGAATCTGCAATTTATCTTCCATAACTTATTTTCAAAGAGATCCAACTTTGACAAATGAAACTGACAATAGGTCCATAATTGACATGCATCCTTTTCGTCATGCACATGGTATGGCTTATAGGGAATGAAAGATAAGATGTTCTATAATTTTTTGATCCTTTTCACTCAAAAAAAAAAAAAAAAAACTGCATGTATGATATCAAACTTTATACTTATTTTCATATTTTTTATTTTAAGATCGGGGAACTTAAAAAGCTTGTCGAGGAGGGAAAAATAAAATATATTGGCTTGTCTGAGGCCTCAGCCTCAACAATCAGAAGAGCACATGCTGTTCATCCTATAACAGCTGTGCAGTTGGAGTGGTCATTATGGACAAGAGATGTGGAGGACGAAATAATTCCAACCTGCAGGTGAGGTTTGAACTGCTAAAGTTGCTAATTATAATATCTATCATTTCTCTCTATTGGTCTTTTGATAAACAATTAGGGTATAGATTTGCAACCTTTGATTTTGCATTCGTTAAATTTTCAGAGAACTTGGCATTGGAATTGTAGCTTATAGTCCTCTTGGACGAGGATTCTTTTCTTCAGGAGTGAAGGTGGTTGAAAGCTTTTCAGAGAATGACTTTCGGAAGGTTTGCAGTCATTCAAATATGCATTATGCACTTTGGTTTCACTTGTCATGAAAAACTAGCTTAGCTTCTAATGGTATTATTTCAAGGGAAAATGACAATTGAGGACCTATAAGAACATTAATGACAATTACAAACCCTAAATTACTGAAATTTTAATAACAGACCATGGTCTTTACTTGTAATAAATTATCTTTTATTGATTAGTTTGAGATTCACAACAAACTTTAGTAAATTATCAACTAATGCTACAAAAATTCCCAACTATCTTTTATTAATTTCTCAAGTGATAACACAAAATCACAAGTGATCAGCTTATAATTCATAACCGACTCTTGTAATTTTCTAGCTGACATTATAAATAATTCCAAGTGTATTTAGTAGATTTCCCAAGTAATTTATCTATATATTGACAGAAAAAAGATCACAAGGGGTTAGCTTGCAATTCACAACTAATTCTTGTAAATTCCCAACTAACATTTCAAATAATTCAAAGTGTATTTACTTGATTTTCCAAGTGGTTTATCTATATATCGGCAATAAAAAATTGAGATTCACAAGTAACTTTCATAAATTCCCAACTAATATTACAAATAATTTTAAGTGTATTTAGTAGATTTCCCAACTAACTATTTGCATTTTTTTAATTACAAGTGAAGATAATGGTCTGTTATTGAAATTTCCATAAAGGTTTGTGATTGTCATTAATATTCTTATGGGGTCGCTAATTGTCATTTTCCCTTATTTCAAAGCCCTTCAACTTGAAAGTCAGTAAAGTCAGCTTTTTCTAATCTTTTGTGTCCTTCAAAATTTCAATTATAGTTTTACCATTCAAGATTAAATAGCTGTAGAGTGTAGAGTGTTGTTGTTGAATTAATTGATAATCTTTCTTGTGGATTTTGTAATCATGTTTGCATAATATAACAATTGCATTCATTAGCATCAATTTGTTTAGAAACATGCATAAACTGGATAAATTGTGAAGATAATAACACAGTTGTTGTTCAGGTGCATAGCTCTCTTGACAAATCTCGAGTGATGGCAAGATTTTTTAAAAGAAAAACACAGTTAAATTTGCTCAGATCTTTTGTTTATTTCAATCCTGCTATTTCCCTCTGCATTTCCAGATTCTGTCCTTTTTTTCCATCTTAATTAGCTTATGCATTGAAAATTGAATTCTGAACGCTGAGTAGGGATTGCCAAACTAAACCCTGACAGAGGAGACATTGACTGAAAATATGCAAGATGGCTTGAGAAAAGTTTATCTTGATACATTTTTATTTGGATTTCTTCTTTCATAGGTTGATCAATAGAACAAGCTTGTCTCCATCCATCTAGTTTATGCCTTGGAGGCTTGTAGGTATCATGTAAGTTCTATCAACAGGGGGTACTGCCGTCCTGGACATTGCCTTGATATTTGAACTTGCAGGAGAATAGAATTATATGGCTACAGCCTTTCTTCTATACTGTCCTTGCTCCTCTCACTAATTTATGAGTTCAATCTCATGTGTATGGGTTAAAAGGACTAGAGTTTAAAGAATCCTTGTATGCTTCTTCTTTTCTGTTTGATGGGCTGCATGTTTTCTAATTCCTATGTGCCATATTTGTTGCTGACTAGGTTATTTTTTCGAAGGGGTGGAGGTGGGAATTTGACGAGCATTAGTGTCATGTTTGCGTAGAAAAAAGGTCTTATGATATCAAGTTTACCACTTCAACATTGTCTTTTCAAACTTATAATTTAAAGAAGATAACTGCTTGACTCGATTACAAGTTTCCAGCACAAATAAATACTATAAAACTCTACTGAGTCACTTCACTTAACATTAAAGTTGATAATGAAATTTGAGATAAGTACTGAGTTACTTGACTTAACATTAAAGCGTCATTTTTACTGTTGCTTTGAAACGTTGATGTCATGAACTTTGGAGGACATTCAAGTTTATAAGTAATGAAACTTTGTGCATAAATAACCTTCAAGGTAGTAAATATATTTGGTTTATCCTCTTTTGTATCATGCAAGCTGGTAATAAACTATGAGTTTGAGCAAGTTTACAATTATACTCTGTAATATGAAATATTGATGATGATGGAGAACTGTTGGTATGTTTGCTTGAGCTGTCACTAATAATTGAGAAATGCCCCCTAATTATTTTTCGCTCTTAACCATTTTTGGTGAGGAAGGGTGAAAAGAAATTTTAAAAAAGAAGTGAAAGGAAAATAAAAGTATTAAGCTGCTTTAAAATTTAATGTTTCTTGTTTCTTTCCCATTGTTAGAGCACAACGGCATTGTGCAATTCATATAACTAATCCGATTTAGTGGGATAAGGCTTGTTGTTGTTGCATCTTTCCCAATTGTCAACATGTGAGATGATTAATGTGCACTGCAAATAACATGTATTTTAGTTCAAAATCTCTGGTTATTATCATATGTTTGACATGGTACCAATTTACTCACTTCGTATCTATCATGTAATATCTTGCACGTTTGTGTCTATGCGGCAGTGGATGCAATATATAAAAACAGACAATCAGATTAAAAATTGTTAAATGTTATGATATGTAAGACATGTAATAACATGCTACGACAGGCTTGTGCCTTGAGTGTTGCAGCATCCTTCTGAAGGTTGAGATATAAAATTTGTCATACCTGACACTTTGCTTCAATGTAAATGATGGACACAATTCCATATCCATGCTTGAAACATCCGTTGTTGATAGATTGACATCAAGATATAATCTGCTTCATGTATGTATTGTACGTCGTTTCAGCGTTTGCCTAGATTCTATCCCGAAAACATGGAGCACAACAAGATTATATTTGAGAGGGTTAGTGAAATGGCTACAAGGAAGGGATGCACTCCGTCCCAGCTAGCATTGGCCTGGGTTCATCATCAGGGGAATGATGTGTGCCCTATACCTGGAACCACCAAAATTGAGAACTTGAACCAAAACATTGGAGCTTTGTCAGTTAAGCTTACTCCAGAAGAAATGGCAGAACTCGAGTCTTTCGTTGCTGCTGATGCAGTCAAGGGTGAAAGATCTGGTCCTGGAATACCTACATGGCAGGAAGGTGACACTCCTCCTCTTTCTTCTTGGAAAGCTGCTTAAAGAAGTTCATTCCTTGTACTTCATATATTCAGTACTCGTTGCTGCCTTTGGCAAACTGATTAGTACAAGAGGTATCCTTGCCTCAATGGAGTTGTTACATACTTATACTAGATTCTAACTCCCGTGCAATGCACGGGACAGTAAAAACATTGACAAACTCAAATTATAATTAGAACATAAATTGGGGTAAAAATAATATTTATGAAATTTTACTTTTATTGTGAAATTAGAGGCTATTCTTTTCCTTTCAAATCTCCCTTTCATGTGGCCAGTGAATAATGAATTAACTTAGTAGTTAGATTATCTCTTCACCAGTGTTTATCATTGCACGCTTCTTTGACAATAGTTGATGATAAATAGTTGACAATAAAAATGAAGGAGGACATTGAAGAATTCGGTAGTAACTAAAAAGAACATTAATCACCCTCCTTCAATCAATTTAAGCGATTAGCTGTTCTTGCAAAGTAGGTCCTAATCAACTTTAGCGTTAAAAAAAAAAAAACAGTGGCCTCCTAATTTTACAGTATGCGACGACGCTAGTTTTGTATTTGCTAAAGAGACGTCTTACAGACAAACTTGTCAAAGCCAATAGATTTCTAATGTGTGAAGCAGCTTGAAAGGCAGAGACACAACAAAATGAACTCTGATTGCAGAGGATTTTTGAGTAGTAAAGTAATGATTTGAATTTGAAGCTTACTTCTTTTTTAATGTATGAACTATTGTCTTTATTCAAATGTGGGAAGTGCAAAATAAAAATATTGCATAAATATTTCTCAATATCCCATAAATTTTTACCTCTTATATTATAGTACATTGTTAAAAAAAATAAAAAAAAAATAAAAAGCTCATAAGATGTTGCGTGCGGCGCACCTCTTACTGCCAAAGGAAGAACTTCAGTACGATCACCAAGAGGATTTTATAAGAAGTTAGGATCATGCCTTGATAGTCAAAAAAGGAACTGACATGTCACAGGAGTAGTGTCTGGGAGCATTTGAGAAGAAGAGAACAAAGCATCCTGAAATTCAAAAATTATATTGTTTGATTAGTTGTAAGTCTTTCTTTTCAAATACATGAGCTCCATGTTAAGTCTCACATTAGAGAGATTTAAAAAGAGTCTTAATTATATAAGTGGGTGCATTGCATATCCTAATGGGTTAGCCTTTTGGGAGAGAATAATGGCCCCGTGACAAAATAATATCAGAGCCAAATCCAAGTTTGCCCAGTCGGTGGGCCACTCATGACAGGAGCATCATGAATTGGTTGGGAGAGTTGTCAGGTCTCACATTGGAGAGACTTGGGGAAGGTTCTGACTATATAAGCGAGTGCGCTGTATATTTTAATAGGTTAGCCATTTAGGAAGAGAGTAAATATGAATTTGAAGTTGTATAAAAGAAAGACAAAAAATGATATGGAGAAGGAGGGCAAAAATTCTTAGAGCATTGGCAGAAGTAAAAGCTGCAATGAAAAAAAGTAAAAAGTAGACTAACATGAACTTGACATAGAGGGTGGAAAAGGAAAGAGAAATGGAGAGAGGGCGAGGAACTGACAGAAGCAATTAGTGAGGACGTGGGGAAATAGGGGTGATTATCTTTATGTTATTATTATCATATACTATAATTATTAGTAGTATATAGCAGTTTATTGTGGTAGTTTAGGATAAATTATTGTGCTGTAATTCAGATGCAGCTATTAGCAATTCCATTACATGTAATAGCAGTAAGATGCATTAGGATTCAGACTTACCATTTATTTCAACTTGCGTTGGAGATTCCCCTTGATAAAAATATCAAATAAGTTAATAATCAAGTAATTAATTAAAACTAAAAAAACATGCTCGGAAACATTTCGAAGAATTCCTCTTCATAAACAAAACGTTAGTAGCTTTTCCACGGATTACAATGCTATTAATGATACATTGTTGAGGTTATTTCTGAAAGAGAAACTTCAAGATAAACATGCAGCGCCCAGTTCAAATTTCAAGAGAAGAGAAATGAATCTATAAGACAAAGTGATAAGTTTACTTTAGACAAAATCTTTGCTACCTTTTTTATCCCAAACCAAACTGGTTAGGGAATCAAATTGTTTTATAGACTTGATATTGAAACCTTCATAGTCAGCAATGAAGTTGGAAACATGGAAGATTAATATTAATAGAGGATATCATATTATAGCTAGTTGGAAACATGGAGCAACAGTGCCAGCACGCATTTTCATCGAGGCACGTGAATGAAGACTTTTGCACCTTCAAGGATTGGGAGCAACATATGCGAGTGGGGAAGATACTTAACCATAAGCGACAACAAAATAAAAACATATGCCAGTTGAGTAAAACCCAAGTCCATCACAGATCAAAGCCTCATAACTTGTAATCATTATATAACAGTTGGGTAAAACCCAAATCCATCATAGATTAATTTCTCAAGCTCAAAAGGATTAACAGGTTGGGTGACGATCTCACCTCTCTAGCCGCTGGATTCCATAATAAAAAGGACATATCAAAGAGTTTGATACAGAGAAAGCCATTGCTCGAACTAACAATCCTATGGTACATCTTCCATGGAGTGTTCTAAAATTGAACTACTCACATCTCGCAATCAAGCAAATATAAGGGCAAAGGCTCAGGTTCACTTGGGATATACCATCTACCATGACAAATGAAAAGAATAAAAGGGTTTTGAGAATGTTTGTGATGATTTCTTTGAGAAGATGTGGTGTTTTGCCATCCTTTACCATCTGCCCCATCATCGTGGGAGCACTTACATGTCTTGGCTTATCGAAGCGACATGAACAAAGCATATGGCAAAAATCAGGGGGTAAGAGAGATTAATTCAGGCAAAGAAAAGCAAGCTTTTTCTCCTTTTGCTACTCAGTGACAATGACAGAGCATTCTGGGATAGTAATATTATTTCTTTCTTGCTTTCACGCACAAACTACATCACTATAATTGTTGCATCCAAAAAATGCGACGTGAGTGGTGCGTAAGTGGAGGTTCTGACCTTCATAACAGGAACTGAAGAAATGGGAGTCGTCACCAAAATTTAAAAAAAAATTTTGAAAAAACTGTTTAAAAGAGGATAAAGATGGTCTGCTAAAATAAAAAATAGGTTTGGGAGTCGATTGAGTATGAAAAATATGTTAGGCACCCCACAACACCTGTTCGTGAGAACAGTTACCTAAAGTTTGTTGTGCTAAATTAATATGATTTTAAATTTATTTTAATTATCCTTTTCTTATTCATGTATTTGATATAAAAATGATAATATTTAAGTAAAAATATTTATTTATTTACGAGGAAGGATTTGACTCAGAATTCGACTCTAAAGCCTATATATCCTATGATGGAGATCAAAGTCTATATAGATCAGGCTTTGAAAGTTGTTGGTAAAAATATTTTTTAAAGAGAAATTAATTAAAAATAATTCATCATTTTACAAGTAAAACAATTTATGAAATTTTGATGTATGTGTTTTAAATTGCAATTTTAATTTTAACTATTTTCTCAATTTTTTAAATTTTTGCAATAAAGAAAATAAAAGGGTTTAAAAATTATTTCCATTTCTATTTTTTATATTTTATGATGGAAATTTAATCGCAATACCTGCAGAGCCTTATTGGCTTATACGGTAATACAATTATTTTATATATTTGCGGAGATTTCAAAATGTCACACAATAAAAGAATTTAGCAACTTAATTTATTTATTTATTTATATTCTTATGGATATTTTTAAGTATTAATAATAATTTTTTAAGCATGTATGTACATATATACTTTTTTTAAAAAACTCTTAACCATCATATCTGTAAAGTCTTATTGAGTTTTACGGTAATACGATTATCTTAAATATATGTGGCGATTCAAAATCCTCACACAATAAAAGATTGAATAATGTATATATTTTAAATATATTTTAAATGCGTAATTATATAATTTATATTTTTAAACATAGAAATTTTAATCGCTATACCTGCGAAGTCTTATTGACTTTCACAGTAAGATGATTATTCTAGAGGTCTATAAATATTCAAAAATCTCATATAATCAAAATATTTAATACATTAATTTAATTAATTAATTTTATTAAAAAACATTTATAATTTTATTTACAAAAATTATTTATTTATTTATTGTATACAAAGTGATAATCACATCATCTACAAAGATTTATTATCTCACATGATGATGTACTTAATTAAATCTCAATGAAAATTCTTGAAATCTCTCATTAGACTTAAATACTTTATTGATTTAAATTATATATAAACAAGAGTTAATTTTAATGATGGGCCTTTGAAACCTATATTATTATATATAAAATTAATCCTCATACCTGCAAAATCTTATTGATTTTCACGATATATGATCATTTTAAATGCCCATGGAGATTCTTAAAATCTTACACAATAAATAGATAATCAAAATATTTACATTTACAATCAGTAAATAATATTATGGTTGGCTAAATAATTCATACAATAAAGACAATGGAAAGAAGAGAGAAATAAACTATTTGACATTTCACTCCCTCTTTAACTTAAGAATGTATTCTTTAAGTTTTTTTTTTCAAATAGGATTAATGCTTAGATAACACTTTTGAAAGAAAATAATGAGAGTTGTGGTAATAGCATCCAACAATTAAAATTAAC